CCCGACGGTGATCAATCCGGATCAGAATGGTTTTGTGAAAAAACGTCAAGCTTTCCATAATGTCAGAAGGGTGTTGAATTTGATACATGCGAGGGAGGGAACCCCTGACACTGCTATTCTGTCTTTAGATGCTGAAAAAGCATTCGACAGAGTGGACTGGAGCTATTTATTTGATGTGTTATCTCACTTTGGCTTTGGTAACTACTTTTGAAAATGGATTGAGACACTTTATACTGACCCAATGGCAGAGGTCTCCACCAACTATATAATATCATCTCCTTTCAAACTCACAAGATGTACCCGTCAGGGGTGCCCTCTCTCGCCAACGCTATTTGTTTTAGCAATGGAACCGCTTGCAATAGCGGTGAGATCGGACACCGAACATCTCATTGTGATGTATGCCGATGACACCCTTTTACTTCTAACAGACCTAAGTAACTCAATTCTTAATCTGACTAACTTAATTGACACATTCGGAACATTTTCAGGCTTTAAAGTAAACAAAACAAAATCCTCTATCATGTTCTTGAATAAGTGGGAGTGAATAAATCCGGTCATAATTCATTCATTAAAGATTAGTATCTTGTAACTATGATCCTATGATTTCTACAGTAACTGAATCCATGAATAGCTGGTCATCAATGCCAATCTCCCTTTTAGGAAGTATAAATGTAATCAAGATGAATATACTACCAAAGTTTTTATACCTATTTCAATCCATCCCTTTACCCCTGCCGCCACAGTTCTTCTCAAAAATGAAGCAAGTATTTACTAAGTTTATTTGGAATAACAGAAGGTCAAGGTTGAGACTGTCACTTCTTTACCTGCCTTATGAGAGAGGAGGGTTACAATTACCCAATTTACAATGGTACTTTTGGGCTGCTCAAATTAGAGCTGCAATGTACCGGTTTTTGCCTGAACCTTACTTACCATAGGTACAAATTGAACACTTATTCAAATATTTACAGTTAAGGAGTTTTGTTTATGAATAAACTGTTAACATTCAATGAATACATGTCATTAAAAAAAAAGATTGGGGGACTCAAGACCACAAAGGAATTCAGACCCAATCACTTGACTCAAGTGACTGGGGTTGTTATTAGACAACTTATTTGCCTTTAAAAACCAGGCTAGTCTGTTCTCTGTGTTTTGGTCTTTACTCAATACTGTACATCAGTATAATTTGTAAGTACTTAAAGGAACTGGGTCTAAGACTGAAGACAAGTTTGAGAAAGAAAATCTGGGGTTGTGGGGTCATTAGACATTAGCCATTACTAGCAATCGACTAATCAACTGTTGGGGATTGAGTTACATAGTGGGTAATGTAGGCCCCAGGTTTTAAAAAGAAAGAGCAATACCTTGAACAAAACAAAGACAATATCTCTGGTTGGACAATGTTATAGGGGTGCAATGCTAAATCATTATTTCCATTTTCTACTATTAGTAATGCAGTACAATTTAGAGATATCTTTTTATTAATTTTACATTTATGCAACAGCTAGTTAGTAGTGGTAGTAGTATTAGTTACCATGCAGATGAATAGGTTCCTGCACTACATATGATCATGTTATACATATATTATGTGTGATGGATTGTTGTAGATTTGCAGTTTAATTAACTAAAGTATTTAAAAGCTCCAGGTACGTAATTAAAGCCCCTGTAAGAAACTTTTATTTTGTGTGTTGATTCTGGACTGTGGACAAAAGTGGTAGTGTTTCCACCACCTCTTTTCATTGATTTCAATGGGAATCCGAGCAAATTCAATCTGGTGGCAGGCATTAAGAATAACTATATAGAAATAGTCAATCTATTAAATTGCCAGTTAAAACTTTTTAATTTAGTTTAATAATATAGCTTATAGCTTTTAATACTCCTGCATTGTAAACTAAATAAAACATTTTATTCATTAATATAACATGTAATGGAGTATTCTGTGTTACTTTTAAGTTACTAAAGGTCACTGCGATAGAAAGCGAACAAGTGTCCTTCTCAAAATGATTAACTAACTTTTTGTGTTTGTTTTTACTGACTTCCTTAGACACCAACCAACGTGCACTGCGTGTCATTTTTCCTCCACGCTGTAGAGAATAAAAAAAAGAGGCATTCAAAGCGCTGCATTATAAAAATGGCACATTTATTGCTACAGAACGGTCATGAACATGAGCCTCATTGAATCACTACAAGATGAGAACCAACAGGCAACGAACGACCAACTGTTGGGCTGGTACGAGGAAGAATAAAACCCTCAGCACAGAAATCAAAAAGAACCTGTTCCCCAACACCTCCACTGATCTGGAATAAAAAGTGTAATAATAACAACGTCAACGATAACGGCGACCATAAGGACAATAATAATTATATAACATAAAAAATGAAATAATACAACACTGACCGGAAATAATTCAGAAAATGGAAGTGTAGAAACGAACACATGCACCAGGAGATACAATGAAATAAAGATTTGAGGCACTCAGCCACACACTAGGGGGGGAAAGTATAACTGCTGTGTTGTTTTATGTCCTTTAATTGTTATTTTTTCTCACATCATCATTTGTTGCCGGCTGGGATGGGACGTCCCCGACTGTGACCTCTAATCGCGAGCCATCACACAGGAAAATTCACAGGCTCATCTTCAGTAACACATGGTTCAAATAAAACCTCTTTAATAATGTGACAAATTATTTTTATCATTCACTTTTGAACATTTCCATAAAATTACTAAGGGAACATTTCATTGTATTTATTCTGTTTTCTTACTGTACTTTTTCCTTTACCTATTCTTTTTGGTGTTCATGGTATAAAAGGATTGCCCCTGCAAAAAACACGCCAAATATATTTTAATTTATGATTCATTTAAATTTTGCGTCAGTAATAGGGTGCACTAACTCCATAGCAAAAGACTAGACAAAGGAAGCTTTAACAAAAAGCCCAGGCACTGATTACAGGGTCATTCTGCTTCATGTATTTTTTTTCTTTTGCTTAACAAGGAACATGAAGAAAGAAAAAAGGCCACATTTCGTGTATTTTCACTTTCACGTATTGATTATAATACTGAAATATGAAGGATGTCTTTGAAAATGACAAATAATACTTACAGAGAGAACATGGTGAACATCAGCTCAGTCAACCGTTCATTTGTGCTTGTTGTTCATACTAGAGTCCAGCGTACGGGATGCAGCAGGGATTTACAATGATTGTTTTTTAGTTATTATTATTATTCAATGAATTGTTCCCTGATATTACTAATTTGAGTTTAAATTACTATCTTACTTCTGGAATTCAGGGCCCTCTATTTTCTAAACCGTATCCTGGTTCCTGACCTCTGGATCGCTGCCCACAGGTTGTTATGTTCACCCTGCAGGCAAAAGTGGCTCAAATGTGATTTGTTTTTGCTCATATGTGATCAGATTTTTTTGTTTTTATGACAGTGTGAGCAGTACAAATCACATAGAGCCTGATCTTTTCAATTCTGATTTGGGCCGCTCTCATATGTGGTCAAAACCAGATCCAGTTCTGATTTGTGAACAGCAATATCAGAAAGGGTCAGTTCAAGACCGTGACCTGTTCACACATCTAATATGGGCCACATAAAAAAAAAAAAAAGCATAATCTGAGCAATAAGTATTGAGTGTTAAGGCTTGCAGTGTGAACATAGCCATTTATATCTACTTTAGCCAGTTGGACAAACGATCCACCAATCAGAACTTTGTAGGCGGGATAAATAAATACAGATGTTGTCTTCTTGTAACGACAGAAAATGTCCCACGAAAGTGCCGACAAGCATGGATGGGATGGATATACGTAGCTGTGCAGGTTGTTGTTAATGGATTTATAAAAGTGACAACTCTTAAATCCACATATTTCACAATGTTAGATGTATTAAAATTCAGAAAGTATCAAAGAAAACCATACAGTAGCCACCCATCCTCGGCTAATCTTAAAAGGCCAGTTCACCAAAAACACAAATAAACACTTTCTTATTCCTAGTGGCTTGTCTGTGTTCCAGAGATCAGTATCAACTCCAAATCTGTCTGGTTTACATGTTTGAAACTATTGAATAGCTGTAGAAATAGAAAAGTCAAAAGGAGACATTGTGGTTTTAGCAGGAGTTAGCCTCGGAACTATTTGTTGACCAACAACCACTGGGTGTGGTAACTTCATCTCAAAAGTTGTGTCCTCATGGTTGAGCTGTCCAAACTCTGTCAACAAAACACAGCCGATGCTTGGTTGGATCTGTTACTATCTTGTTAGCTACAGCATGTAAATCAGACAACTTTAGAGTTGTTGAAGGTGTATTACTTTCTTTTGTTGAAGTTGTACTAGCAGTTCCCCCCTGCTTGCAGTCTTTGTGCTAAGATGGGCTAAACACATCATGGACCTATCTCTGTAATGGGTGCACAGAGATAAAACTGATATCCATTTTCTAAACTGACTCTGGGTATGAATGTATGGCAGGAAAAAACGACTAAAAAACACTTAAACTTAATACAATCTAAAATATCTGTATGGTTTAGGATCCCAAGTCTAATCATTTTATCAGAGATTTCAAATATATGAATATGAAAATGGAAAAATAGTCAATGCCTTAGGTGAAACACTCGGTAATAAGAGAGTTAAAATGTTGGCAGGAATTTTAAACAGTTTTTTCTTCTGGCAGTGGACATTTGTACAATTAAAATGTTCTGCTATATAGAGGTTAAAGACATGAAAACCTTTAAATTGTTTGTTCATTTTGTTGTTTTCTTTTACAGAAATTATAGTACTTATATAGAAGTGTTAACATCCATATAAAATATTTTAAATGTTTTTTTTTCATTCTTTTGTGTGGAAAAAATACAAATTAATTGTAGTATTATATAAATGTACCAAATTTCAGATGTACTGTGCTACAATGTGTGGAGTGTATTTGTTCATTTAAATGGGGTTAGCTATCATGAGAAAAGAGAGAAATGCTTCCTGCTTCTACGATTGCTGGGAAAAACAAAGGACAGGAGTGGCCATTTTGAATTCAACTCATTATTGCAGTAAAACTGGTACAGAGTAACAGATTACAAAGCTCATGGCACAGTCACTGAAAAATAGAAATGAGGCGTGTATGTACAACAAGGAGGGAAAAGGAAAAAAAGAACATTTTGGCTAATAGAAACATCAGGGGTAACATAAAAATGAAGATACTGTAATTCGGGAGATGACTTGATTATACAACAAAGAGAAAATATGAAATGAAGCATCACAAAAATAACATTACTTATAAAATACATTTAGCACTTACACTGACAGATTCAATCCTAGTGTTTAACCTAGGTCCGATTCAAAGCGGCTTTTCCTTTTGATGAAAAGCTAAATTTTAATGGCAAACACTAAAAACCAATGACTGAAACTGCCTTGCACACGATCTGATATCTTTTTGGGGAAATAGCTGATAAGATTGTTTGCTGACGACCTGCTTTTCTATATTAGCAACGCTCCAATCTTTCACAAAATTTTCATATATTAATCTTGAATCAGGTGCTGAGGGTCTTTAATTTAATCAACATTTACAACCCATCTTGAAAGAAATAAATGCACCAGAGTCAGAGCCTGCCCGAAGCCACCAGGGGGAACCAATGTGAATTGAATTTGTAAACTCAATTTACGCTTTTGTCATAGTTTATGTAAAAACATAAAATGATTAATTTTTATATACCACCCTATATCAATTTAAGAAAAGGTGTTATCACAACAAATCCTCTAACAAATTTTATGTTTTATAACAAATTTTTTAAAAAGAAAAATTTGGGATTGTCCAGATTAATTTACCTAAGTAATGTACATAACAAAATCATGAGGGTACTTTTGAGTTATGATATCCTGTGTTTTTATGATTTTCTTTTTTTTACTGGGTTATTTTTTTCTTTGAAAATCAGAATAATTTCTTCGCATGGCAGTAAAAAATGGCTCTCGCCAGCTCTGACGCAGGTGATTCTTGGTGCAAGCAAAGACAACAATTTGACTTACACTTCAGATGGTCGGCAACCAAAACTACATACAGTACTGAGCACCACTGACCAAAACTAAAAGTTGGCACCTGGCTACTAACCGGACAAATACAACCTCACTAAAAATCAAAACAAGTTCATCATCATCGCTTCTCACTGGCAAGTCCTCACCCCACAGAAACCCCACAGAAAATGTTTTATGACTATTTACACATTTCTCTGCAAAAAATACAATTAAAAATGGTAATGTCATGAGGCATGAAGAATTAAACAAATATCATATATCTTTTATGATTTCTGATTCCTCCCACGAACCCTCAAAAATGTTCCCCACAGATAATAAACATAAGGTTGAAAAATAAAAAATAAAATGATTCGGAACTTTTGACCTCACTACATTTTCAATGTGACACATTTTTTCAACACACACTGAATTTTACTTTTTTATCTTTTAACAAAAAAACCGATACAACATATTTCTAAAACACAAAATAACAACAGTCTACATGTAAAAATATAACTTTTACATACACAATTTCAAAATAATGGTAAAGTTTGCCATTTTGTTGCATACAATTTACAAACGTCTGTGTGTTGTTGCCTTGGATAGATAGCAGTGAATGGAGCTGATAGAACTCCGGTCCCATTTTGTCCTGCGCAGGGTGCCGTACTAGTCAGAGGGTGTTGTCATGGCAACAACAGAGAACGCAACAAAGTCAGTTGAAAATTTATAACACTGAGGGGCCTCGCCAACTTCTGCCAGTTCAGTCTTTGAGAAAATAATTCTTCCCCAAGCAAACACTCCTTTGCAATAGAAAATAAAAAAACAGAAAATGGCACCCTCCTTATATATTGTATATATTTTTTGTACATTTATATATAGATTGATTTATTCAAATAGATTCTTTTCCAGTTTCCGTGCCTTCCTGTTGATTGGGTAGGATTTTAACCGCGCCAAAATGACCACGACAGAGAACAATGCTGTCGGATAGCGAATTGTGTTGTTTTTTTGTTTTTGTTTTTGTTTTGTTTTTTACATTTTCTATAATAGACATGTAAACCAGAACAGACAAAGAAAAAGTAATAAGAGAAAAGATTCTTCTTAAAAAAGAGAGAGAGAGAGAGAGAAAAAAAAGAAAATCTGCTTTACAACATACGACCACACACTTTGTACTGAAGACTACATTGGCTTACGGACAAGCCGATCAAATATTGATAAAAAGCTGATAAGCTATAATACAAGAAGAGACGCGTTGTTCACCATGGAAACAGGGCTGGGGCTTGGAACAGGAAGGGTTCGGGGTTATGGAGGACTTGGGGGGACGGAAAGGACTGGGACGGGGCTTGTCTTGCTAAATCAAGCGTCTGTCTCATTGGCTCGAAGCCAGAACACGCTGTCTACTTACATATAAGCGTACAGTACATTAAATACAGTTTAATTTTTTTTATCCAAAAAATACTTTTTTTTCCTTTTTAGCTTTTTTTAAATTCCCAGGTCTGGTAAAAAACCTGACTGCATAGAACCTAACGACTAAGAACAGGTTTCCCTAAGCTTGCATCCTATTAAAAGACCAGGTAAATGTCCTCCTCTGGCAACTCGAATGATATGAACTCTAAAAAGGCACATTGGTAGAATTGTGAATGTTCAAATTGCATCGGTGGGAACGCTTAGGTGGGGCAAGAGGCTGGGGAGAGGGTCCAGGGCTGTGGTTTAGGGCTCATAAGGCTAGGGTCAGCAGAGAAGACAACACTGGGACCGGGGATTAAACACTGGCTATAGGATTGAGGAGGGTTCCAACTGGGGCGAGGGTGAAAGGGGACTTTCAGATTGACACCAGAACACAGTGTACGTTTTTGCAGATATTCCAGTTACCTTCGTCTGTTGTTGGAAAGTAGACCTTGAAGCATAGCAATGCAATAATTTTTTATCCTGACCTATCGTATCCTGATTTATTTATTCCTGTTTTCACTTGTCATGGCCAAGACTTTTGTCAATTCCACCCATCATTTTCTTTCTCAATCCTATATCACTCCCAAGTCAATGTTCACTTCTACTACCCAAGAAACTTAGATAAGTCTAAGTACAAGACGCAGAACTTTCAAATTCTGAAGCTATGTAACATATTAGTGGTGACTTCTGGATTGGACCTCCTTCAGATGTAGACTACTGATCTGGATGTACACTGAGCAAACCAAGGTAATCAAAATGTCTGGGCCCTTCTTCAGGCGTCTCTGGTCAATGGACTCATACCAGACTCATGACGAATGACACACAAGAATACACACTTCTTTTATCCTTGGAAGGCAACACAAGCCCAAACCATCTGCTAACTGTAGCTGATCCTAAGGACAAATCAGACAAAGTCTGAAACCATAAAACCTAGCCTAATCGGGCAGTCTGTCCAGAGTCTGCTCATATTTGGTCCTCTGGCACAGGGACAGCGATTGCACTGACACTCAGCTGCAAACCTCTGTGTTCAAAATTTTGCCCGACATCACTGTGGCACCGACGAGCAAAGAGCTGCAAGGCCAGTGAAATTTCAAACAGTTAATGGTCCCAGCAACAGACACTTCAACAAATGAACGATTCTGTGATTTGGCCAGGAAGCAAATGTCAATCAGAGAGTCCCCCAAGGTTGGTACTCTGGGCAAGGAAGTCTGAGGGCGGGGTTGGAGGTTTAGGGGTATGATCGGCCAGATATTAAACCAGGAAATGTAGGAATCTAATGAATCCAACACAGGAATGCTTTGACTACCGCTGCTTGGCCCCTAGAAGAAAATGATACACCCCTCACCCCGATGATTGTTCCCCTGCTTCCTCTGCAGCGTCATCATCATTTAGACCTCCGGCTTCGGTTTTTCATCCTCTCCCTCTGTCTTCAGCCTCAGGATGTTGGCCTACTTCAATTCCGCTTGTCTCCCTACTCTTCCATGACTCCCAAAGCTCTCATAGTTCAGGCCTTTAGGGCATCGGGAGCACTCGATTCAAGTGGCGTGATCGCGATTCAGGGAATGTGCTAAACTTGGAATAGTATTCACTTCAGTGCTCAGTCCAGCCCTCTTTCCCCCTCATTCACCATCCTTCTATCTATCTATCTATCATTTTTATCATCCGCCATCCTCTCAACCATCTGCCCAGTAATCCTTTGATTTCAGCAAAAGGCCTGGACACAATTTCTGCTATGCACAGGCTGACGAATTTCTGACAAAGGTCTCTGATTCGAGATGTTTGCTAGAGCTCTTCCTTTCTGTCGTCATTTTTGCATCTGCACTACAACCCCCCAACAATGATCTCAAATGAAGATGTCAAGAAAAGTCTTTCCTTCCTGCCACATTTAGAAGTACACTTTTTCATTACAGCATGATTCTTCCTTCCTGTCTTCTGTAATTGCTCTACCTTCAATAGTTTAAACACCCCAGTCCCTCTGGAGTCACTCACTAATTGATTGATTAATTGACTCAATGATTGATTTTCTAGGTATTTTCTTCCGCTCAGTAGATACACATGGGTCATTTGGGTACAACTGTCCAGGTATTGTAGCAGTTCGTACAAATTTGCCCTTTGTTAACAAAGTTAATGTGGCTGTAAGCATAAAACACTAATAAAATACATGAACATGTTCAGATTTCTTTTACATTGACAATCTATTGTAAATATTTGCAGTTTACGAAGGAATGCATTAGAAGGGGAAGAACGAGTTGCCCCCGTTGTTCTCGTTCAGCCCTGCTTCTTTCTAGGCATCTATGATAGTCAAAAAGCGCTTGCAAACTTAATTTTTGTTCAGATCATTTGGCAAATCAAGTGCCTCCAAAAAGCAATAGGGTTGTAACAGATTCCTAATATCTTTCATTTATAATTTAATCGGTGAAATGTGTGGTTTGTATGGGGATGTACTGTATGAGTGGGCAGCTTGCTTCCATGATACTTCCAGGAACTTTCCTGTTCTTTTTTTTAAGTTTTGTTTGCTTCTCCACGTGTATCTATCTGACTGGTTTGCATCCAAGAGGAGATCAGGCACAGCTTCATCCACAGTGTGGCGTTAGATTGCCATTCAGTCAGAGACGCGCTGAAGCTGCATTCAACAACAGCTGCGCAATGTTGCTTAAAAAAAAATCTCTTTAACACTTTGTGATATGTTTTGCTCCGTTCTGAACAACCCTTCCCAACCCGTACCCTCCTCACTGCCCGCGTCCAGTTGCACTTTTTTTTAACAAGTTTTTTGTCATGTTTTCCTTTTCTCATATATATATATACTATATATAGAACCCTTTTGTTCTTTAAAACTGGGAATGCTGATAAAACAAGTAGTACAAGAAGAAGATTTTCTTGGATGATGTGATTCCAAAGACTTTTGTCCATTGCTGTCACTTTGTGTCAAAAGCTCCCACAAACTGCCACGCGGCCGTTTTAACGTCTCCACAAAGTAGCATCCAGTTCACTTCAGCTGGAGATGCAAAGTGACGAAAGCGACTAATGTGACTCTGCAGTTTGTGTTCTCGACAGAAGAAGGAGACAAAGGTGAAGAGGAGGATCGGAGACGGACAGACGAGAGGAGAGAAAGAGTCTGATCTGATTGGTCAGGCCCAAGTTCCGGAGAATCTGATTGGTCGGGCTGAAGCAACAACGGGTTTTGATCGATTGCCGGGTTGTCATGGAAACGCCGTCAGAGGAAGTGATCACTCATCATCTTGATGAATTCTGGCACCTTAGACCTAGAGAAGCAAAGAGGAAAAATGAAGGGAAGGAAAGTTGCACATCACATTGCACACACAAGCACTCACGCAGAAATAAATGAATTTATTTTAAAGCCCTAATAGTGGCCCCAAGTGGTAGTAGTATTTATTTCACACCACGACAATAGTAAGGTAAAAAGTCATTCATGTAATGTGGAGTGCCAAAAATAGAAAAAAGTTCTTGTTCTGGGAGCATCAATGTGTGCAATAAAATCTGTGGCAATCAGGGCTAAATCTGATCAGGAAATTTGGTATTTCTTTTTATGAAAGTACATTTTGGAAAGATCTGGGCTCGTCAAACCATTAGCTTTCATCCTCTGGTAGCCGTGAATATTCAGCTAATTGTATGACATTCTGGCTAGTAGTAGTTCACATAATGACATCCCATTGCACTATAGTACAACGCTACATCACCAGCTGTGATATTGGGTCTGTCAGAGCTGTGAAGTTATTCTTTATAGGAATGTACAGTTTTAGGAACCAAAGTGACTTAAAAAAACTTTGGACCCAGATGTAGCTATCATGGATTTAGATTTACTTTTTTAGATTTATAACACACCCATAACATTTTGTGTTTTTGGACCTTGGATTTAAAGTTGACAGGGTCATTAATGTGCTGGGCAACTTTAATGACCTGAAACCTGCACCAACCCCCAGTATAGATATAATGAAGAAAAGACATTACTTCAGTTTTTTCACTGTAAAGCTTTTTCAGATAAGAAACTAAGGTTTTGCCTGAGGTCAATCCTGGTCCTTATCAAAGACCTTTGGTACCTCAAGCCTACAGAACATCAGAAAATAAGCTCAGTTACACGTTGTAATCTGCTCCATGATTTAACATGCAAACACAAATACTATATGAATGTTTTGAGAATGAGAAAACAAAGGTTGTAGAGCAAAGAACAGAAACAGTACATATTCAGTAAAAAGCAGCAGCGACAAACACACACAGACACACATTAAAATCACACTTACTGCCAATCTGTTGTTAAAATGTACCCAGGCCAGACAGAAACTCAAGTTCTGGCCTCTTTTTTTAGCCAGCTAAAATATCATCAGCTCTGCCAGACTTTATCTGGAACTGAACGACGCACTTCTACAAATTCATTCAAATAATGGAAGAAATTTGACCATGGCATTTGTTCTACATGTTGTCTGTGTAGGTTTTAACCTTTTCTGATTATTTAGTATAAAGTCATGAGACAAAAAAAACCACATTTATCATGATGATCAGTTAAACTTGCAGTTCCGAACTTTTGTCTTCCCCTTCTGGCAGTGAGAGTTATTACACACACTGTCAACGCGTGCTTATGACGTATGCCTCTGCTGTATTCCTAGTTGCAGTAACCTACACCCCCCAACGAACCAATGCTACTTTACATAAAAACGCATCACTACTGGACTGCCACATTGTAATGCAAAAAAGTTATTTTAGCTACAAAAATTGTTTGGATTACATCATTTTAAGTAACACAAGTTTTTTAAGTTCAAAAAGATTCTTTTTGCATTTACATTCCCAATTAAGTACTTTTTACTAGATATATAATAAATATAAATTACCAAATTAAGTCACTGTCACTCTAAAAAACATTCTTGACCAAGTAGCTTTAGTAATTTTAACTTAAAAAATTTTGTTAGTTTTACTTAAAATTTATGCTGTAAAATAAATATATATTGAACTTATCTGGTTTTACAGTGCAGTGTGGGAATGTTGCCACAGACACCAGATTTAAAAACTCTGTATACTGTGAAATGCAGCGGTGATAAGCTTAATCAGCACTGTGTGAACTCGTTCGGTGGGGGCTTGAATGTAACACAAACATTCTAAGCTAATTTAAAGCTCAGAATGTTTACCAATGAGCATGTCTATTTAAAACTGATTTATTTTCTTAAATCTAACCTGACCCTTTTACTGAATTTCCTTTACCAATAAAATTCTAAAATTATAGATAAAAAAACCCAAAACTGATGAAATCATCTGACTTTCTGGATGCAATGGTTAAATATAGAGGCTACTTTTTATTTTTAAATTTGGGTTAACCTTTATTTATCCAGGGAAGTTTTCTCACCTTTTGCGCTTTTATTTTGAAAGTTGGACACAAAACAAGTCTTTTTTTCTTTAACATTCTTTTTCTGGCCAGCTTAGTTCACCTACTTGTCTCCTGATTAAGTTATATTATGATTTGTTGATATAAACTGAATGAGCTGTCAAATTGATTTCAAGTCATATTTTGTTTCAGTCACTATAATTCTAACAAATGGTTAAAAAGTACACAGAAACCACATTAATGGACAACGGATGGACAATGTTTTACTTGTCCATCTTTTGAGATCACTTTTGACCCCGAAAACAGGAAGGTTCTTTTCCAGATTACTCATCAAAAGCCAAAATGTAAAAAAACTTTGCCATAGATTTAAGATTTTATGGCAAGTGAGGATTTTAAAATGTTTTCTTGAAGTTTCTGGACTGGTTTCTGAAATCCGATTCTTTGGTTTGAATTAAAGGTACAACAGCAGATTAGTTTATAAGTGAAATCTGACCATTCAGGGGGGGAGGAGATGTTGCTGCGTTTTACATTTGTCCCAAGGGGTTGGACCCGTCGCCCATGGCGGCGGCGGCGACGTGGTGTGCAGCGGCCAACGAGAGGGGAGCCCCGTCCGATGCTACCGTGACCTTCTCCTCCTCACGACGCTTCAGACAGGCTGCCTTGGGGTTCAGGTTTCGCTCTGGACAGAGGGAGAGAGAGGGGAGAGACTGTTACTCATTCTGCTGTTTTCTGTCTTTTGTTTCTCTGTTTCAGTGAGGGAGTTATTTGTGCTGAATCATTAAATAGGTAGTGAGACTGAAGCTAAGAAGCCAAAAACTTCAGCCTGGTTGAATACAATCAACAGGTGCCAGTGCCGCCCTCTTCTGGAGCTCCCGAAGCACTACATGTGATGGAAATCTAATTGAACCTTTTCAACCCTAAAATTCCACCTTAAATTTCCCTTTAAGTGGCTTTAAACTTAAAATAAAGACACCATTTTTTATGTTTTAATACTATATTGACCCAGCTTTTCATTAAAGCTCTATGCTGTTTTTAATGAGTAAAGCATTCAAGCCCCAGACTCTATGCTTTATATGGCTGTACAGTTCAATCAAATGGAAGTACAATTTTTGTATAATTTTAGACACATTTAGACACAACAAAGCTTGGCTGCACAGCATGAGTTTGTAAAGACAAAGCCAAAATATTGGTCTGGATGGGGTATGTTTCCTCATTTGTAAAGGCATCTTAACCTTGACAAAATATACATTGTTTGAAAGCACAAATACTGCATATGATTCTATCTAATGGAAAAGGTTGCCATTATTCTATATTTTTCTCACTACCAACAAATCCCATGCAAAAAAACACCAAGCAATCTCCTATATTATAGACTGATTGACTGATATTTTCAGTGGTGGATTATTACACATCTGGTTCTCTAGTGAGTATTTAAAACAGCATGATGGTGTATGTATGACTGAGTCAAAATAAACTACTGTACAGTGTGTGTGTCCATGGTAATGAAGAAACATTTCACACAGTACAGCACTGTGGCTCACTCATGTGTTTTTAATACAACATAGGCTATATCAGGCTTTTGATACACAGACAATAATTGTTAGAAGGATTAATTCACTATTTTCTGTGGTCTTGTCATGGGATTTTTCGATAATTAAGACAAAATTGTGAATATTACCAGCCTCATCCTTTAAGATCCCAATATCACTGCAGCTAAAGTTGCTTACTGTATACGAAACAGAACAGTACAATAAAGAAATATGTGCCTGTGTACACTGTACACTTATCGACTATACAGACTAACTGTGTTTTTTTGTTAGTACATTTCAAAGAGTTTCCTTTCAGAACAGATCATGATAATGACAGTACTGTAATTTTAGGGATGGTCCTCAAAAAGTGTGGTGCTTCCTCAAAGAATTAAATGACCAGAAACAACAAACAAAACCTGCAGTTCCTTGAACAGCCACTTGAGGCTGACTACAGAAGTAAGTCAATCTCCATAAAGCCCAATATTAAAATATTTACAACATGCCTTTACAGCCTGGTACAAAAACAGCTTGGGTATAGAATGTTAATAAAACTCAATGGTTAAGATGATATTAATACTTGAAGTTATGATTTAAGGTTGTGGCTGCTTTGAGTGACAGGTGGGTGCTGTCACAGGTGGCTGGTTTTAGTAACTCAGCTCCACCTCTTTGCCCATTTTTGCATTAGCTGCAAGGATGGCGATGGCCAGAGCCAACCACACTGAGCTTCACAACAGCCAAACATTTGGGTGATGTCCATTTTTATTTCTACAGTTTCTGGGACAAACTAGAATTTGACCACTAGCATGATGAACTATCTAGGTTGATCATTTTATAGTTTCTTTACTATTTCTATAATGATGTCAGTAAACAACAAGGTACAGTACATTGGTGATGTGATCATTACAGGGGAGTTTGTATTTTCATATAAACAAACAAATAGATTAACAAATTAAGATAAAAGCAAGCAAGTCTGGTGCAGTATGTGTGGTTTATATTGTTATTTACTGAGGTCAAAGGTCATGTATCTTTATATGAAACTGACCTCGAACTTGTTGCTCCAGACTGAGGATGACAGCCACGGCCTGGTGCAGGATCAGTAACTTAGTCTGAGGTTTGTCGCTCTTCAGGTGCAGCTGGACCATCCTGCCCAGCTCCTTGAAGGCCTCGTTGATGTCGCGGACACGCAGACGCTCCCGCGCGTTGTTGGCCATCCTCCGTTCCCGCTCTCTCTCCATCTTCTGCTCCGGAGAAAGGTCCTCATCGTCGTTGTTGCTATGGTTACCAATGATGACGACGAGCAGGATGCAAAGGAAGGGGAGGATTTGAGGATGAAAGCTCAGTTAATGTATGTAGATCTCAATACAAACCAGCAGTGGATGCTGGGTATTGCTGACCTTTACAAGATGATTCATTAAGTGACAAAAGAACAAGGAACAGGGCTTGGGAACAGACATCGTGTTGTGCTGCAGTTTTCATGGTAATATTGTGACTTCATTCACTACCGTGACTGAAAATATACAGCAAATAAGAGGAGGATGCACTCTTCGATGAAGATTGAAGTGTCTTGAAATAACTGAATTTTTTAGTGCAGAATTTACAAGAAGAATAGCTAGTTGAGCTCGCTGTAAACTAGTGGGAAACTAGTTAAACTTACAATATGTAAGTTTCTGCCACATCAAAACAATTTCCAAGTCAGTGACTTTTGTGAGTACTCCACTGATTTAGCACTGCACTCCTATAACAATGTTGAATATTGTTTTTATTCCATGCATTCTTCTTTCTTGTCCAAGCCTGCTAGTAGCGGCTAATGTAGCTTTGAGCCTCTAGCCTCAAGCAGCAATGAGGGGCTGGCTACAGGGGTCTGGTAAGTTCAAGTGTTTCTAACTCCACACCTCCAGATTTGTTTTATTTTCAAACCTGTAGTCTTCAGCCCCGACTCACGCTGACTAAACTGATCAGCTCCCTGCCAACAGCTTTGCTGATTACACATTCCCAAACCCTGTAACATAGCATGGGCAACATATTTAATCCGTATCTTATCTTAATCATCAAAACAATTTGCATCATCATCATTATCAACATCATCATCATGGCCGCCACCATCATGTACAAATGTCTGGGTTTGGGATCCAAATATTTCTTATTTTAATCGTCCTCCTTTTGAAAAATCTCGTTGGAGGGGTGAAGGCTGCTCGGCTGCATCCAGGATGGGAAATCAACACAAACCAACACTTTCGATCTTTCTACTACTTTAAATTTTTCTGGCTTCCATGTTCATACAAGAAGTGGGTTACACAGGTTTACTCTTTGGTTCTTTGAAACATGTTTGTGTTTTTGAAAGCTTGTAGATTCTCGCCAAGAGTAAGAATATATTCATGTCTCTGTTGGTGTTGATTTCCCAGCCCTCAATGTGACCGGGCACTTCTTTGAGAATATTGACCGTGGGCTCTACTCTGTTGTGTGAGAAGCAGTTAAAACCAGGCCCAAGACCATGGAGAGACTGACGGGATAAAGTGGGAGCTACATGTCCACCGGGAACCTCTCTTCGTCTTTATAGTGCTTGCTTGGCTCAAACGCGTCGACAGCAACCACAGGCAAAGAGAGATGCCTGGTGAATACGGACATTCCGTGTACAAGAAGTCTCTTTATTAACTGATGCATTTAGCTGCTTCTCATCACACTTGGTCACTTCATCAAAGTCCAGAGGCTGGTTCCCAAAACACTCACAGCTTAAAGTCCTTCCTTGTGTCCTTTCTCTCCAAAACAAGAGAAATCGACCTCAACTGAACTCAACTGAATTGAACTTTTGTGGTTGCTACCCGATGGTGGAAATAGTATTAATATTGAATTAAGTTGAAGTATTGATGCCACAATGTACAAATACTTTAGAAGTACAAGTCCTGTGTAATTTTTACAGTAAATCAGATTTCTCCAGGAAACGGCTACATTTCCTGGTATACAATTCCTGCTCTATCCCATAAAAATGCTGTATGATCATGTGTTCATTGAGAATAAAATAAAATTAGGGCACTAATTTAGTTTGTACAAAATCCAAACCACTGTAACATCCTGAATAGTTTCTGTCTCTTGAAGAGGTTTGTATGTATCAATGACATTTCGGAACAAGGAAGGTCTCTGAGAGTGTAGGTGTTTTGCGAAAACGCATGTCCCAGCCCAGCTTAGATTTTTGATGGAAGCGAACGTCTGAGGGAGGCGGGGTTACCTAGATCTTGACCTATCAATAGCTTTGAGATCCTTGCTGTCGCCGTCCTCCTTCTTGGAGTCCAGGGGCTTCGTGTCGAGGTTCTCGTCCCCCTCGTCCTCAGACTTGATCTCCGAGCTGACAGAGGAGGTACTCTGGCCCTGAAGGCCTCCGGAAAGGGCTGCAGGAGGAGGGGGAGAAAGAAGAGGAGGAGTTAGAAGGTGATAGATAAATACAATATATGGCCACAAGGAACAGGAGAAAAGAAGAAAATACGGTCGAAAGCCCAGTACGTCAAGCTTTGAGCTAAAGAGGCAGACATGCGACAGAAAGGTTGCTGGTTTGAAACCTAGAAAGGGCAGACCAGGTGTTTTACTACTATGATTTTTATTTGCTAATTCTCATAGTAATAAGAAGTCTGTCCATCTTGGAAGAGAGATCCCACCAGGTTGAGACTGTATTATGGTACATGTAAGTCATGAAACAAGCCTATTGCTAAATGTGAAGGTTGGAATTTCTGACTAAATTCACACTTCTAGGTTCAATAAAAGGGTGCAGCAACAGAACACAAAGAAAAATCTACCTTATTAGATTGCTTAGATGATATAAAAATATGTTGCATTCATGCCATATCTGTTATCATCCACGAGCATCCACATGGGAAAAACAGTGTATATCAGCTTAAAGTTGGACATGTCTGACAACAGCAATTGACAACATTGGCAAAATAGCTGCAGCGTCCATCACTGTCAGCTACATTGAAATCTTTGGTATCTAATACCAAAACTAACAATTTAGTTAATTACATAAGAGCTGGACACTGTATCTGTGTCACTGTGTAAACCAATGCAAATATGATAAAAAGAGCTAATGTAGCAATGGCCATCCCGTAACAATGAATGAACGTTCAGTCAGAATACGTAAGGGGTTCCTGTTCTTCCCATTCTGCCAACATAGCGTGAATGCAGCATCAGGCGTGTCTGAACACAGCTAATCCTCCAGTTGACCCCCAAGATGGCAGCACGGGAGAGTTGGGATGCAGACGTGAAGCCTCTGTACCCTCTATCAGCCTCTCTCCTCAGCCCAACAGTGCAGTCTTTATTTGACGTCTGTATGGATCCGTCACTGGGACGCTGCCAACTTCTCAGTCAACACAAAACACTGCGCTCTGTTCCCACACACTCACACACGACCAACTGTCGGCCATTTTGAATCTCCGTCTGCCTGACTGGAGGCATTTTGTTTGCAGCTTTGAGTGACGGCCTGTGTTTGGTTTGTGTGCGCACGTCTCCGTCCACACAATCGTGGCTCGCTTGTGCATAAATAGCTGCTTTTAAAAAGGCTTAAAACTGTGAAAAGTGACTTTGTGCTTCTGAATGTCTGATTGAGCCCAGACAGACACAAAGTGACAGTGGAGGACAAAATGCGGAGGAGAAAAAAAAGACTTATTGAGGGTAGCAAGTCTGAACCCCAGAGTCGTAATGTCTGATCTAATCTAGTGTCTGGCTGAAGTTTCGTGTGATAAAATACTCTTCCTCTTTGTTCAGTTCAATTTGACTTTCCAAAGTCCCAGTTGCTTGACACGTGTTGGCACACACATTGCATCATTTCCTGTTAGTACCGAACATTAAAGTGCATTGATTTGTAGTCCACTAACTAAAAAAAGCAGTGTACAAGTCAGTGTCACAGGAAGGATTCCACACAGTGCCTGAATTGGACCCAAAAAGCCAGCAGTACCCTAATTCAGCACTAACTCCAATTCTTTTGCCGTTTTTTATCCTTTTTAACTAGGGCATTTTCAACGCTTTCTTAGCGTTAAGCTAGCTGTGTTTAAACTGAGGCACAGTTATGCAGACGTTTAGGAGTACCTCACCTCAGAAATATTAGAAATACAGAGGTCCAAACTGAACTTCCTAAGGGGGTTTTGGGGCATCAAAACATAAAAATAGTTATTTTTATGCAATTGTTTCACAACTTTTATTGTATACACCTCGGAAAAAATACCGAGTACGAATACGTCCATACCTCCTGGACCTCAGTGGTGGGTATGGCTATGCTCACCAGACGTAGTGGGGCTCAATAAGAACTAAGGGTACTCATGAGGACAAAAATCAGAAGTGCCGGTACTCAGTACTGGTGAGTGCCGACCCAATTCGGGCACTGATTCCACAACTCAGGATTTATGCTCAACTGCCAACGTTTAGTGCTTTGTTCAATTTGGGTGAACCTGCCCTTTAAATTATTAAATGATGTCTGTAGCATATAAATTCATTGCATTGTATATAATAAAATAAAATAAAACCACCCAACCTGCTGTAGAGAGATAAAACATTTTTTAAAGAGCAAGAAAGAGAGTATAAAGTACACATAAAATAAATATTAACATAAAATACTATCAATATAATATAAATCTTCTCCACATAATTATTCTGAAATTGAGAGAGAGGAGGAAACCAAAGCTCTGCTGCTGAAGTTGAAGTGTTTGCTGCCAAAAACATTTTAATACCCTTTATTTACAGCCTCTACACACCCTCTACTCTGTGTGTGTGTGTGTGTGTGAGAGTGAGGAACAACTTCTTCTACCCGAGTGTGTGTGTTTCTCTCTCTCTCACCTCATTACACACTTGGCTCCAGCTGCCGCTGGCTGAACTCCGCTGCCAGCAGACTCATTTTCAGCCTTTAAAAAAGAGCTCTGGGCTAATTTGATCCACAGCGCGCCCATATACACTTTTCCTCCTCCATATTCATATCACACACTGTATGCGTTTACCTTCCTCGTTAGGCTTTTCGCCGTTCGGGCGTTGAAGTCGAAGCTCGCCAGCTGAGATCCATGTGAGCGCCTGAACTGAACTCTTCCTCAACTTTCTGACCCCCGTTCTGGGACAGTATGCTCGTCTTCATCTTACTTTTTATTTATTATATATTTGTTTTTCTCCTCTTTACAGATTTGTTTCTTTTCTTTTTCCTGTGTACTCTGTTTCATCCTTTATGTTTTGTATCCTCTCCATTTTATCTCCTGCAACTCTTTTCCTTTTTTCCACTCCATCTCTTTTTTCTACATTTTTCTTTCTCATCTTCTTCAATATTGCATTTCCTACCCATCTTCTTATGAATTTTCCATTTTGTTTCTCTTCCTTTTCATCTTTTTCTTCCCATGTATTTTACGTACACTCTTTTTTATCTCTTTTCATTTGTTTCTTCTATTTTGTCATTCTTGTTATTATTAATCCCATTTGACTGTTTTGAGATCTACTTCCTCTGTCTCTTTATTTGACTCCATGTCATCCCTTTCTTCATCTTTATTATCTTCTTTACCTTCCTCGTCTGTTTCCTTTTTGTTTGTTTTCATTCCTCTTAATCTTCACCCACTTCTGTACTTGTCACTTTCATTTCCCCCCCGTTTGTGTTCCTCTTCATCTCCTCTTTTACTTCCTCTTCATTATTTATTTATTTATTATTACATTGTGTTGGAAATGTTCATTTGGTGTATTTGTGTGTGTGCACAAGTGCATGATGGGATACCAGTGGGGGATGCCTGTGTCTATATGGAAACACACACACACACAAACACACACACACACACACACACACACACACACACACACACACACACACACACACACACACACACACACACACACACACACGCATGAACAAAAACAACAGATGCTGACACTGTTTGTCTATCACTGGCTCTTTGTATGCTTGTTTCTCTGCTCAATGTTCACTTAACATAAAATCTGCTGCAGAGCAAAGACGGACACATGAATGAAGGGACTATTTTCTTGTCATCTGTATATGTTTGAATAGAGCCACTGAAACACAGAGGAGTAATGTGAACCTAACTAGTAACTACTGGTCTTACTAATGTTGGTTTTTGGGATCTTACCGCGGTACGGGTCGGGCTGGCTGAGGTCTGGCGATGTGGCCGACTGAACAGGCAGCTGAGGCACCGGCACCTGACCCGCCATCGAGTGTCCGGCACGCAAACTGCCCACGCCGCCGCCATCTTCTCTGTGAGAGCCCACCTGGAAAACAGAGAGAAGAGAGAGAAAAGGATGGTGAACAAACAGCTTCTGCAGTTACAAACACAACAGTGACTCACATTCTAAGTTTGCCACATGTAGTCAGCTTCAGACCCAAACTGATGGTTTCAGGCTGGTCTGAACCCTAACCCCTTGAGCTGACACGAGGTTGTGTTTAATTTCATCATTGTTACGTTGTTTTCAATAGTGAAATGAGAGCTCATGAAAAATGCATTGAGCCTATTAGAAATATATTTTCTGTGCTGTTGTGCAAATAAAGGCTCAGGCTGAAGGGGCCTCTAGAAAATGGTGGTGGCAATCTTCTGCTTTATAAACCCAAATTAGTTATATTTTACACTAAGAAGTGGCATGTTGTTTTATTAATTAGCTCCCATAATTACTTTAATTATATAAATGATTTAAAATGTATGTATGTACCTTGCTTTTAAATGCTGTCCTGTTTTGTCTGTTTGCATTGTGATAATGCTTGATCAATAGGTTTGATTGTATTATTTCAAATACTTTTTTATTTTTTCCAGATCTTAAAGTTGCTCATTATACTTTATAGCTAAAGTAGTCTAAAGTGACTGGAAGCATGTATAACTAATTAATTCTATTTGTTTGTTTGAATGAAGAAAAGTGTCACTCTTCAACATTACGAAACCATTAAACACAAGATAGTCATAAAAATCAACACTGGTGAATGAATGTAACACTGTGCTGTAATGCTCTATAAATATAAAATGACTAATATTTCTTTGTTCTTTTTTCTTTTCTCCTTTTTTTCCTTTCTTCCTTCTCCAGATGTTGCAGTTCCGCTGTAGGCCTGCTGAGGGCATCCTCTGCCTTTCTAAGACACTGAAGATCTCCATCTGTCTGTCTCTCTCTCTCTCACACACACACACACACCATCCCGCCCGATGTTTTTTTTCTCGATTTTTCCAGTACAGTACAACTCTGGTAGGCAAACTGTGCTCCGCTCCCTCAAACTGCCTGCACTTGTGTGTTTATGTGTGTGTGTTCCAGTCCAGGTTCATATCTGCATGTCTGACATGTATATTTACAGTTTGTTTTTTTTAACTCAAGTGTGTTTTTCATGTGTGTATTGAGGGAAATACTGTAAGGGTGCATGGGTGTGTTTGTGTGTGTGTGTGTGCTTGGCTGAATCCTATCCATCTGTCTGCCACACACACACAAACACACTCTCACACGCACACACGTACACACGACAGCACAACAACTGACAATTATCTTAATGCCCATATGTTTAATTGTGGGATTCTAATTCCCAGAGCACCGAGAAGCTTCCAGCAGGGACTCACTGTTTTGGCACGAGATGGGCTCTCTTTATGTGTGTGTGTGTGTGTGTGTGTGTGTGTGTGTGTGTGATGCCAGCTTTCTCGTAGCATCCTGGAGTTCAGAATAGTCTTTCCCTCACCCTCCTTTTCCTGAGTGTTTTAGTTTGAACATATCAGCAGGACAGTGGCTCCATATGAGTGATGACAGATATTTAGCAGGGTATACGGTAGGTGGCATATAAATATTGTCTGAAAGTTTTGAGCTGTAGTGTGTTGAATGGCAGTGTAGAGACAGAGGATCATTAATGGTGAGATAATCAGAGTGAAGTGCCATTTCACTTCAATTCATAATTCAGCCTCATGTTAAATTTTTTTTTTTAAATAAGCAGGGAGTGAGAAATCCATTCAGCCATTGTCATTTTATTTTCAAGTGCTGGTGGTTGCAAGAAGCACTTAACTCAATGTTTGTCATCAAATAAATATATCGGTTTAAGACTAAAATTATGAAAGATGACGTTCCCATTCCTTAAAGAGTGTAATGTATCAAACAGCTTCCTCTGGAGCCACAACAGGGTTAATACAAATTTTTTTTACATATGCTTTAGCACTCCCCAGCAGCTGTAAACAGACTCTGATGAATAAAATTGGTTAGCCCCGCCTACAAATCTCTGATTGGCTAGATTTTCCAATTTAGGGAAACAGCCACCAATTAGCCCAGCTAGACTTCAGGTTTTCTTTTAATTTGATTATGCACAACTTTATGTAGGAATATACATCACATGAGCAGAGTACAAACTAAATAAATTTAACTTCTTTAAACTGTCTTTGGCCCTTTAACAAGACAGGTAAAAAAGATAAGCTGATGTAGATCCTGCCTTATGTGTATTGGTGCAGATTCCCTCATAAATGTTCAATTAATCAGATTACTAAAACCAACTGACAGTGACGTTTTGGCTGATTTGCCCAGCTGTTGAGTGTATAAATGGAAAGGTTTATTTTTTGAGAACTTCAGGATATTATAACTGAACTGTAGTAAAAGCCTTTTTTTATTGTGGGACAGGAAAAACTATGAATGATTTTATTATCCAACAGTGTCGTTACTCTGATATAATCTGCTCTATCCTGGGTGAAAATTTAACGTTCAGGGTTAGTTTCACATGACACGTGATGTGTGATATAAAAGATGAAATATGAAAGATATTTTGTAAATGTAACTGAAATACATGATCACTCTTGTCTGCTTTGACTTTTTTAAATATATTGTGCTATAACCATAGTGTAAATAAAGTTGTTCCAATCCAATCCCTCTGTCTGTCTGTTAATCCAGCTGGCTGACAGCGAGGTCTTGCCCACCACATGCCAAACTCCCCTCTTGCTCCATGCAAATATCACAAAATGTCGACCGGCTTGTCTGCGTGCGTGTGTTTCTGAGTGCGCGAGTGTGTGTCTCAAAACCAAGCGCTCTACGTCTATGCGTCCATACGTCTGCTTGCTCCCTTATTTAGTATTTGCCTCTCGTCTTTCTTTCTGTCTTTTCTTTTCCGTTCCCTGCCTTTCATCACTGCCTGGATTCCCAAATGTAAAATGGCAGCAGAGAGGGAGACAGAGAGGGTGGCGTACATTTTTAATGGAGGGCTTTTATATTTTAACGAGCCTTCCTTCTCTCTTGCTTAATTTAGTTCAATGAGGAGGGAAGACGAGGAGACAGACGGAGGAGAAAAATATAAATAAATTACACATAAACACCACAAACCAAAGCCACGCCCACTTACCCACCGTCCCTCAGGTTCAAGACATCTGATTGGAGGACGGTTAAACCTAATCATGCAGCCAATAATAATTTGGATGCAAGGTTTGGATTTTACTATCAGTGAGGACAGTTTGTTGAGTTTGTCAGCTGTGACCATGACTGAAAGTTCCAGAAAAAGCTTAAAAGTAGATCTTGAGTTAAGACTGTCTTGGCACATTTGTTTTGGTTTGTTCTGATTTTTGTCAGTTGCATTCAAGGACGCTCGGACATCTGCGATTTCATTTCTGACAGCTGGAAAGCATCACATTCATGAGACGTTATGTCTAAAAGAAATTAAACCCAGACAACAAATAAGACACGGCTGCTGTGAAAAGTATGAAGCGAACATTGTTTACCTGATATTTTAAAAAAGCAGCTGTGCACCCACAGGGAGAGTTTTCAAAACAGTCAGTGCTCTCAGCTGTATTAGCACATCACAACAAGGTAACAGAACAAAAAGTGTTGCGAAAACTCAACTCGTTGGTGCGTTCAAGGATCCACCAAAATCCATTTTCTAAATGATTGTTTGTTGCCGATCACCAGAATGATCAAACTCGTGATTCTTTCCACAACAACCAGGTGATACGTTTGTTTTTGTCAATATGCAGAAGACTATAGACTGGATTTTATTATCATATGAGATACAATAAACAGAACTGGACACAGATCCATAAACCTGCATATCATTAGATTGTTCCAGATACAGGTCTATTTTGTCCAATGTGAGGTTTCTGAATGCACCACCAGTTTCTAGGTTCCTGTATGGAATCTATTGGATGATGATAATGTAACGCTGACAAAACTCACATTCCTGTGAGTTGATTTTAATAGAAATGAACTGAAACCAGCGGCTGCTTTGAAGGAGGGAATTCAAACCAAAAACTGATGGATTATTTGGAAAATCCAGGGATCTATTTGTAGTACAGCAAATGGGTATTGTTGATTTTTGGTGTGCAGCAAGGCTTATCTTTATTTTACAAATTCATTCGTTTTGGAAGAAAAGCGCTTTTTGTCCTAAGCTCAGTGCATCAGTGACAGTTTAAGAACTAAAATAAAATCTAGTTCAAGGTTAGAAAATTTAAATGAGAAAAAATATCTTTTCAAGCTTAAACTAGACTATGAATTTGATCAGACATTCATACTTGACAATTTTCAGTACCAGATACATTTAGATAGATTTCTGTTTATACCATAAAATATTGAGGTTTGGGTATATGAGAGTATGTGTTTTAATGGTCACTTAAAACATTCATTCACAGATTCTATCTAAATGTCATTCCAATGAAGCAGATTGAAATAAAAAACAGAAGGAGCCGGAGCCAGAGATAGTGGAGGAGGTGCTGAGTAGCTGTCATCTGCAATGTTGTTGATCAGTGGGAAGTGTGTTCATTTAAAGTGTGTGAGAAAGAGAGTGCACTGATTACACAGGAAGAAGAAGAAGAGAAAGAAGGGAATTTCTGGGTCAAGAGATGCCACACACGCTTTCTTTCAGTCTCTCTCTCTGCACACGCACAGATTCTTCATGCAGTTATAAACAGTAAGGACAAGTCTGTCTGAGAGAAGAATAAACTCGGCCAATTGACTAACTCTATAAATTGTAATATTTCAACCCGCATTAGAAGGATTTATGCAATTTTCGTTTGTCATTTTCAATTATTGTCGCAGTCCCAAAAAACACCTCTGCAGAGGAGCACGAGACGAAAGGGTGGTGCAATATAAAGTGGGAAGTCCAGTTTGGAATTTTACCAGACACAAAGACACCACAGAGCTGATTTTATAACTCTAGAGAGCTGATTTAGCACAAATCTACTTGCTACGTTAAGAAGAATCTCCTTCAATGTAAGGTTTGTCCTTGCGGTGACACGGGTAGAAAGGTCACTACAATCTAAAGGGTTCATCCTCAAGGGAGCAGCAAT